TTCTGTATTTTATGAGAAGAGTCCATTAAATTGTCATTGAACAAATTAACTGTTGCTGTTTTCGCTTACAATATTCTACCTCCTCCGAATAATGGTAAAAACTTTGCTGCTGTTTTTGTAGGTTGTCTCAGTGTTCGATGAACAAGCATCGCTGCGAATTCACCATAGACAATTATTGTAAATGGTTGAACGGATGATTTGATGATGGTACAAATAATGCCAATTATCATCAGGAATAAATCCCATTTCGTTGCGTATCGATACTAAAATTCAATTGAAACAGGCGAATGTAAAGAAAACAGCAACAGTGTTTATTGAATATAAAAAATCGTATTGGATTTATGGACACTTGCCAAAGTAAAATAGCTCAACGCGTCAGATTTATCCGATTCTTTTATAACCTTCTTCGTTGTGATGTGCAATTTTTTTTTCCTAAAAGCAGAATTAGTAGAATTAATCAGTATGGTTCATATAATATCAATCTTTCTTTTTTAAAATGCAAGTTTTTCTTCTTTTTTTTATGGACGACTTATAGAACCCATATCAAATATGCTCGGTTGAGTTTTTATGTTAAAACATTATCATACCAGAAACGTGTGAGTTTTTTTTTAAATGTAAATGAAACGAAATTTTTCATGTTCCACCAAATCTTCAATTTGATACACTCAAGGTGGATTGGTGGACATGACGTTCATCTCGTTCCACTGGAACTCAATCCAATATCACGAAAATACGGCATAAGTAGACCAGTACTTTTCCGTACACATAACGTATAAGGAAACCAAAGAAGTTAGTCCCGATTTTTTCTTCATAAAATTAGTCTAGTTCGTCATGTGTAAAAAAACATGTTCTTGAGCCATTTTTTCGTTTCTTTCCGACACTGTTCCGTTATGTATTTTGGTATGAAATTGGCTTTTCTTCAAAATTTCTTCAGAATTGACGTAATTTTTTTGAATTTGTAATTGAAACGCCTTTTTTAGAACATAAATTGTTGTATTTTTATGGCAGAAAAAGTGGGAATCACGAATATAATTCTTTTTATTTATCTTTTAAAGTCTCGTAGAGTTTGTGTCCGTTTTTCTATTCATTTACTACTTTTTTACTATCAATTTTTCGTTCAAAAGCAATAAAACAATGACAACTTACATATCTTAGCTGAAATGGGAACTGAAGTTTTCTCAGTGATGAATTGATGCTGATCAATTTTCCGTTCTATTCCGCTGCCAAACGTCCAAATACTAAACCGTCTTCCGAATTCAATCGGTAGTTGTGTCATAGTAAGCTTCGTCTAAGAATATGCAAAAAATCTAGAATGTGCAATTGTGCATATGGTTTAGTGCACACAAATTTCAACCAAGGGCATTTCGTAAGCATGTGTAATGTAAATTAGTCATTATCGTTCAAATCGATAATATTCATTCCACGCTATTCGCTACAGTCGTATAAATATCGATAAGGCATCACCAAATAAAAGAAAAGAAATAAATTTTTTTTCTTGTTTCTGATAAATAGTTTTATTTAAAAATAACAGCAATACTGAGCAGGAGCATTTATTTTTGTGCGTTATAAAGTCGAGTATAGGCGCCGTTTGATGTGAGCAATTCTAGATGTGTTCCGGATTCCACGACTGTTCCATTTTGCACCACACAAATGAGGTCGGCATTTTGAATTGTACTTAGCCGGTGGGCGATTACAATGCACGTGCGACCTGATCGGGCCAAATCTAGCGCCTGTTGAACAATCTATAAAACAAGGTGTTTCAATGCATTTTCATCACAGAAAGAAAATAAAACCATAAATCAGAATATAGCTCACTTGTTCACTGTGCAAGTCCAATGCCGATGTGGCCTCATCCAACAAAAGAATCTGTGGGTTCCGTATTAAGGCACGAGCGATAGCAATCCTTTGTTTTTGACCACCTGACAATTGTGTGGCTTTGCTGCCTACATTAGTTTCATAGCCCTTGAAATGATAATGTGATTTTTTTGTTTGGTTTCAATTGTTAAATGAATTTACATAATAATAAATCTTGTATAAAATCAAATTGGCTATGAATAAGGTGATTGAATACCTGTGGTAATTGAATAACAAAATTATGAACATTTGCCACTTTTGCTGCCTCAATGACTTCCTGCATGTCTACATCTCTCGTATTATCACCGTAGGCAATGTTCTCAGCAATTGTTCGATTGAATAACACCGGCTCTTGTGACACAATGCTGAGCCTTGATCGTAAATCATTTAAAGTGATTTCTTTGACAATGTCATTTTTTCCGATGCAAATTTGACCATTCTGAGGTTCGTAGAGCCTTTGCAGCAGTTGGATGCATGTTGATTTGCCGCTTCCTGAATGGCCAACCAAAGCTACGGTCTTACCTTCAGCTACATTTAGATTGAAATCTTCGAATACTGAGATATTTGGACGCATCGGATATCGGAAACTAATTTCTTTAAAATCAATATCGTTCGATTTTTCCAAGTCTGAAGAGGCACTTGACTTTTTTATGGATGTTATGTGTGGCTGTCGGTCAAGAATTTTGAAAACACCATGTGCGCCGATAAATGCCGTCGTGATGGTGGGAGCAAACACTAACGTTTGACACATAAACAGGGTGCCATACAGCATAGCTTCACTAATTCTGATAGCAAAACATACGAAATCAATGTGTTGAGTTAAAATCTTCAATCTGTCCTCTTTCATTCCGATGACTATCGAAATCATTACTATAATAAACTCTTTTTGGAACATGAAAACTCTTCATTGAAGAGTCTTTTCTTTTTTTTTTCATTTCAAATCAAGGTCAATTTTAATCATTTAGAAAAACCAGGCCCGTACCGTGCTTTTTTCCAGAAAATGGTGATTCTAGTTTACCAAGTGATAGCTTGCCTCAAAAAAACACTTATTTTGAAAAAAAAATCTAGGGGTGCTTTTGGAAGTTTACGGAGTTATGGGACAAAAATGCCAAAAATCACGAAAAATCAAAGTGGTACGATTTCGATGAAAATTGGTACACGGGATAAGTGAGAAAATAGAAGAACTTTGGCACTAAAACTGGTCCAAAAAACCAAAAGCACCCCTAGTAAACTTCCAAAAGCAGCCCTAGATTTTTTTTCAAAATAAGTGTTTTTTGGGGCAAGCTATCACTTGGTAAACTAGAATCAACATTTTCTGGCAAAAAAGCACGGTACGGGCCTGAGAAAAACATACCGAACAATGTTTTTATAGTGAATTTCGCCATACGCAACCAAATGCCCACCATAACAAAGCGCAACAGCATATGCGAGAAATGGCACCGCTTGACTAAATGAATTGACTAAACCGCGAAAGAAAATCTTTTTGAATGCAAGCTTCTCCACTCGTTCCATTTCACCCATGAAACGATTTATCATTTGCTCTTCTTGACCTGTTCATGGAATATGATCATTAATTTCATCAGAAAAATCTTAAAATCTTTTGAATTTTACTACATTTCATGTAGCCTCAAAAATAAAATGATTTTCTTACGCAAACTCGCTACAGTTCGAATATTCATAATAGACTCTGAGGCAATTTTTGTACCAGCTGCAATCGCTTCTTTTTCACTAATTGCCGATTTTGCCAAATGCCTATTTTCAATTGTGAACGTGAAATTGTAATACTTGTATGTAGTTTTTTAAGTTAACTTAAGTTCGAAAAACTACTTGAAAAAAATTCAACCTTCAAAACTTACTTTGCTTCAAAGAAAACCGCTATTAACAATATAGGGACAGATGCTAAGCAAACTAAAGACAGTTTCACCGATGAAGTGAATGATACAATGATGCCGGTGGCAAATGTTGAAATGGCTTGCAATATCAAACTGAATGGATAACCTATTGCCTGGAAACAATAGTTAGAACAAATGATAAAACGTCTGGATTAGATTCAAACTTATTCTAAAGCTCAATATTTATACCGTTTGAAGATTTGCTGCGTCACTAGTTAAACGACTTCCCAAAGCTCCAACCGAGTTATTATGATCGTCAAACCAAGCACATTCTTGTTTAAGCATCGCTTCAAAAGTGGTTGAGCTGGAAATTTCGAAAAATATGCATTGAAATAGATACATCGGTAATTACGAATGATTTAAACAGATTATTCCTATTCTAGATGATTTTTTTTTCTAATGTATACCGAATTCGATGTATGAATTCGGTACGCATTAAATAAATACCGAATCCGATGCGTCAAGTTGGCGCCAGCCCGTGTAAAGAAGTAAGTCTGGTTGATGGCTCCGACGAAAATAAACAAGCCCAAGCCCAAGAAAACCATGCACCACATAAACACTTCCTCTAAAGCCTCATCCCGATTTGGAACTGATAGTGTCTGAATGAAACGGCATAAAAGGTCAACAATTAAGAAAATTTTTATGATTACTAATGTTGAGTCCAAGTGCACATACTATAAATTTATATGACAGATAAAATTTTGAAACGTTTTTATTCTGCATTTGGCTGGGGTGTTTGGTCAGATTCTTTAAATTTATGCCAAATTGATGCAAATAGAACAAAATTGGATCGTGATATACCATACTGAGCGTTACCTAGC